AAGGTCAAACAAACTGACTTGGATTGGTTTCGTCCTTCTCCTTCTTCAACTTGAACCCAATGTGTTTCTTTTTCAATAATTGACAATGAAAAGATTGAGAATAGAATCACGTAGCTAAGATGTGCCCGAGAATGACTAAAATGAAGATGTTGTGGTTGAGAAGAGAAAAGGGAGAACTTTTTTGAATTGATTTTATATTAAAATTATTATTTGAGTGTACCATAAAATTAAAATATTATATATTACTCAAGGGTAACTTGTAGAAATTAATATGGTGTATTGAGAGTTTATTATATATTTAAATAATTTAATAAGAAGTATTGAAAAATTAAACGTGCTAATTGATTTTTTGAGTGTAAATAGAATCCCTTCTCTTTTAGATGAATTTCGAATTTGGGTCAAATTAGCTTTAGTTGGGTTTAGGCTTGGCCTTTTGATTTTGAGAGTCATGAAGGCCCAAAGTTAGAAATATGAGCAACAAATTTCAGTATTTATTTGGATCTATAATTTGTTGTCTGAAAATAATATATAAAGGGAAATGAGGTCATTCATACTAATGTATTTTAGGGGAATTATATGTGAGGGAGATAGAAAAATAAAAAATAAAAAACGTATTGGGATATAGTGTGTTTATATTGGGGTGTAAATGAAAGGCTATAGGGTGTAGTTGCACTCCATGTGGTGGTAATTTTTTCTCATTTCTCCCACTTGCATGTAATTCTCCCATATATTTTTATATGTAAACTAAAAATAAAGTTTTAATTTTTTTTCAAAAAATACCCAACCAATCTCAAACCATACAAAAGTAAAAAAATATAAATAAATAAAATTAGGGTCTTATTTATTGTGCTTTCGTTTTCTTTTGTGTGAGTGAAAACTTAAGATAGAATACAATATGTGATATAAATAAAAAAAAATCATATATAATGATGTTGCTTATTATGAACTTTTCACTTCAAAGCAAAACACTATCGATGAATTTATTAATAATAATGACCTTATCACATCATTTTTGTCAAAATTTTATATGAATTTTATGTAAGAATAAATTTTTTAAAATAAAATACATAATGGAAAAAATAACAGCGGTGACAAAACTTAAACCTACCTATTTAAATCACTAATTTAGTTCATGGATTTGCATAAGAATTTAAAAAGGAAAAGAGAAAAAGTATGTGAAATGTAAATGAAATATAATTACATTTCACACACATTTTTCTTTTCTCTTTCTAAATCCTTATCTAAATCCATAAATCAAATATAGCCTAATTGTCCCAAAAAATCAAGAGCATTTATATTCGAACCCCAAAAGTTAGACCCACTTTCTATACTCAATTATCTTCTTGACACATCACTGAATTTAAAAAGTGAATTATATATCATTTTCTAAAAATCAATATTAAGAAATGAACTCAACAATATATATACATATAGTAATACTACACATCCAAAATATTTACACAAAATTTTATTTGAAAAGAAAATAATGTATAATTTAGATTCATTATACATATGAATCTCTCAATATATTAATTAAATTTCAATTACACTTCAACTTTTATTATAATTTTCTGCACAAATTTTCATGGTAAGTGGTGTTTTCCATATCTCTATCAAGCTAACAAATCTATTGATTTCATGGTAAGTGGTGTTTTCCTTGTCCCTATCAAGCTAACAAATCTATTGATGAGCTTCAACACCATAATTCACACATGAGTACTACATAGTCATGCTAATAAATTGTTTTTTAAGCAAAAAGTTAAGAAGTATGAATAAAGTCAAACCACCAAAAAGGACATTCTTTTCCAAATTGCTTTCTAGCACCGACAAACAAGTCCTTGAAGGATGACGAAAAAAAAAAAATGAAAATAAAAACATATAAAATTGACAATAGAAAAATTCAAGAACAAATTGTTCTCCTTGTGGCTGCAAAAGTTAAAGCAGTTTATTGATGACTTTTCAAAGGGCTGAAGCTGAAGTGTTTGAACATTTGAGTCTTCTACACGTCCATTGCTTATAAAAATGAATTTCCCATCTCAAAGTAACATTTTAGGTTGTATTTGGATTATTAATTTAGATAACACTTTAAAAAAAAAATAAAAAAAAATAAAATTATATTTTACCTATTCAATCCTTTTTTTACTTTTAAAATTTTTACTAAAATTCATAATCTACACCCAATCTTTAAGTTCCCCCAAACGTAAACTACACAACAAAGAGAACAATCATTTAAATGCTAACGACCACTGAGTTGCTTCAAACAGATAGCCATTCCTTACTTGAAAACGAAACAAACGAAAATTACCTTAGTCTCTTTATTATCCTTGAAATGACCCTTCACTTGAAAAAAATTCAACAGAAAAAAAAAATATATATATATATATGTATCGCTGGGTTTTTTATTTTTTATTTTTTAATCATTGTTTTATATCACCATCTACCTAAATTATTAATTTCTTGTTTAAAGATAATTATTAAAGAACAATAAAATATAATTGTATGACATAATAAAATAGAATAAAAAATTTGATGACATGCCATGAAGTACGAGTGCGGGTATAGATATTGGTACGGATACGTTACGAGTACATTGATACAACAAGATCTAAAAAAAAAAAGATACGGGTATAGCTGTGGTATGCCAATAAATTTTTTATGTGTTTATAATTTATAGTTTCAAATTCAACCTACAATCACCAAAACTAAAAGGAAAAATTACAAAATCAAAAAATAAATCATAATTTAGCAATTCAACTACCAAAACAAAGTCCATAGGCTATTTAATGACATTAAATAGAAGAAATTACAAAACAAAATTTTATTCGAAAGACAAACTAAGTAATTTTTGAAAATTTGAAATTTCAATTTTCACTCGTATCAATTTCATCATTGAATAATATATCTTTATTTTTGACATATAAAGTAAATGATTTGCAATTTCAAGTAAATCAAAACCCTCTAATAAATTAAACGTACTCCACCAATGTTCCATAGCCTGGTGTAACACCGATGTAACCATCCCGTATCCATGAAGTACCCACAGAGTATTCAACTGTCAAAAAATATATAAAAAGTACTTGGTACGTATTTTGAATATCTGATACATATACAGCCATATCGATACGAGTACCAGCACCCGATCCAAGTAAGACAATATTTTCAAAGTACTTATACTTCATAAATGATATGTAACATTTTGAATTTATTACTATCTCAGATGATGTTGAATTAATACAATGGTGCCAACATAGTTGGGTGTTTCTCTACAACTATGATGTTTTTTTTTTTTTTTTTTTTGATCAGCAAAATGAAACTTTATTGATGGAGAAAGCAAAACATGCGAAAAACTTATATCAACAAAGAGGGAAGCGCAAAAGAGCCTCAACGCTAACTTTAACAATCCCAACTAGGTTGGCACTAATAAGGAAGCACAATCATTTGCAAGCACTTAACCCAAAGATTAGTGAGAAATCAAGAGAAACCAAAAAATACAGAAAAAGCAACAATAAACAAACAAGACTCAACCCCAACCAATGCAGCAGCAGAGCAACTATGATGTTTTTTACCGAGCTCTAATCTTTGTACTCCTCTGTTCCTTCTAATTAATAAAATTATTTTTTTCCAATTAAAAAAAAAAAGATGGTAAACAAATTTAGTAAGAAAATTATAATCACATTTGTTTACAAGAAATTATTTATCATTTCATGGGTTATTCATATCAGCAATATTACAAACTCATACTTAATTACTCAAAAATTATTCAAAATTTCATGATTTATTCTACATATAGATCCTACACTATACAAACTTAATCCCCATGACACAATCTCCCTCCCAGAAAAGGATAATGTTAGGTTACTAAATTTTTAATCAAATAAATGACCAAATGCCTCATATGAATGTGGCACACCCATGTGAGACATTTGATCATTTATTTGGTAGAAAATTTTGGGCCTATAGTATTTTCCCCCAGAAAAATCTGGGGGTCAAGTCTGGGTCCCAAACTTTTTCTATTCATATTGGAAAATGATGTACAAGTGAACTTTTTAAATTCACTTTCTAGATCTAGCAATGTGTCAAGAAAATGATAGGCTGATAATTAAATATTTTCTAATTATCAACTAATCATCTTTTTGATATATCATTAAACCTAAAAAGTGGGTATAATTTTTTAGTCTAAATACTTATTTGTATTAATAATAAATGAGGAATAAGACTTATTAAACCGATAATTTTTAATATAAAAAATAATAATTATCCCATTATGGATAAAAAAAATTTGTCATACAGCCATCAACTTTTTATTGAGAGCAAATTACACTAATAGTTTATGTATTTTGTATTTTGTGTTATTTTAATTTTTACACTTTTAATTATCTCAGATTTTTTGTCAATTTGGTCCAATAATAATACTATAGCATTTTTTGATGAAAAATTGTCACAGAATTGATTGAAGTTAACTCACAAGTTTATAATTTTATCCCTAAAAGCATATCATATATTATTTATGTGTATATTTTTTTATTAAAAAATGTTAACAATTATAATCAATTGGACTAAATTAAGAGAAAATCTTAAATTTAAAATCTAAAATTGAGTTAATTAAAATTATAATCACTAGAATGACACAAATAACAAAATACCCAAATTACCAATATAATTTGGGTTGAGGATAAGGTAATAAAAATATCTAACACATCATTGACACAACGTACCAAATAAATAGACCTAACCCATCATGAGGAAGATTCTCCCTAACTTCCCACTATTTTTTTTTTTTTTTTTTTTTTTTTTTTTTTTAAATGGCGTTTCTACTACCAACCAAAGCCAACCCACACAATGACACACACAGAAAAAAAAAAAAAAAAAGAAAAGAAAAGAAAAGAAAAGGTGCAAGTCTTGTCCTAATTATGCACACATCATAGTATTTCAATGTTCTAATTATATGTATATCCACCCATCTATCTTATAAATATCACATGTAGATGGATGGATAGCAAGATAGATAGATATATAACAACCTTTATAACCTTCCATATCCTCAAACCGTAAGCTTTCAAACCCTTTTCACAATGTTTCCATTTCACACTCATACCTTCCATCTCTTCTGCTTCTTCATAATCATACCACCTCGCATTCCGGCAAGACTAATACCCAAATTCACGACAGACCCAGTAACTGAAATAACTACCAAACACCATAATCACACGTGGCATGAATTCAAGAGGCTCCAAGATGTTCAGAGAGGAAGCCACGTCACCGGCATGTCGGAGCTTAAGAAGTACTTCCACAATTTCGGTTACCTATCGGTACAAGAAATGAATTTTACCGACACATTTGATCCCCAGTTCGAACACGCCGTGACCCAATACCAAGCGAAACTCGGACTGCCAGTCTCCGGTAAGCTCGACTCCGAAACCCTAAATCAAATCATGCTGCCACGGTGCGGTGTACCAGACACCTCACCGACATTTCATGAAATAAGCCACTTTGCATATTTCCCTGGCCAACCGAGATGGGCTCGTACTATGCCCATAACTCTCACCTACGCTTTCTCACCAGAGAATTTGATCGGTTCGTTGAGTTTACCAGACATTCAGGAGGCTTTTAAACGGTCTTTCGCCCGTTGGGCATCGGTCATTCCAGTGAATTTCACTGAAACAACCGATTATGGATTTGCCGACATAAAAATAGGATTTTATGGTGGCGATCACGGTGATGGAGAGCCGTTTGATGGGGTGTTAGGGGTTTTGGCCCATGCATTTTCGCCGGAGAGTGGGCGGTTCCACCTCGATGCAGCGGAGACGTGGGCGGTTGATTTTGGGTCGGAGAAATCGAATGTTGCCGTGGATTTGGAGTCGGTGGCTACACATGAAATTGGACATGTTTTAGGGTTAGCTCACACTTCTGTTAAGGATGCTATTATGTACCCTAGTTTGAAACCTAGAGGTAAAAAGTTGGATTTGAAGCTTGATGATATAAAGGCCATACAAGCTCTCTACGGTTCAAACCCAAATTTCAAGTTTAGTGCTTCATTGGAGTCAGACACTTCTTCAAATCAAGCCATTGATTTGAGGGTTGTTAGATCATCAACATGGCACATATTGGTTTTGATATTGACATCGCTAACATGCATGTAATCGTGCATGACTGGACATACATTTGTGTGAGTCTTACTTATAACACAAACACATAACTCCTTTATTTTTTTTTTAATTTTTAAATTGATGTATTCTTTAAAGATTTTATGGCAAGTGCCAATTGTACTAACAATTTGAAAGTGTATATGACTTTAGTTTTTTTCTTATAATTTTGTTTTTTACACATCAATCAGAATTATCAATTTATTGAAGGTGCATTTTAGATAAAGTTTGGTAGATCATGGAGGATATGTGGTAGAAATAATGTATTTTAATTTTTGAAGGCAAAAGTGCAACAAAACCATTTTTGTCCATCCCTTCTGGTCAAGATCCAATTTTAATCCATTTGAGGCGCCATGATTTACCATTTCCATTTGTTGTTAAATCCACATATGTGGTTTGCTTTCCTACATATGAGGTACAAGGCACAGTTGTGTTTTTTTATATGAATGAAAATTTGCCTTTTCAGTTATTATCATTTTTTTTTTAAATTTTAAATTTCACCAAATAAAAAAATAAAGTAAATTGATATACTCTAAATTGATGGGGGAGGGTGGTGGGAGAAGCGTAATAGTGGTGGTGGGGAAGGTGGAGGAGGGTCAGGGATGGCAAATGAGGATATGGCAGTGATTGTTAGCAGAGGGTGGCAAGCGATTAAAGTTGTATAGAAAATAGAAGAAAATAGGAGGAAAACAGAAGAGGGATATCGATATAACCTCTGCTAATCAAAAGAATTCTAATGAGACCATCGTCATATCGATATCCCTTCATTTCAAAAGTAAATTGATAGTATTATTTATTCACTTAAACAAATCCAACCCTCATAATATAATCCTTTACTTACCCAAAAAAAACATATATATATATAATCCTAGAAGAACCACATGATAAAATTGATCTATCAAATATCTCTAGCATATCATATTATTTTAGTACTAGTGTACACCTGCGCCCATGTTTGAAGGCACGGTGTAAATAAAAATAAGTGAACAAAAAGGAGAAAACAAAAAAATAAATAAATAGGTAGGAAAATAAAAAAAATAAAAAAGACAAGGAGGAAGGTAGGATCATTCATGGGATTGTGAGAGGATGGGTGAGAAAAGAAAAAAGTAAGATAGAGAAGCGGGAAAGTAGGATACATTACAGCCGTTGTTCTGGAGTTTAAACATATCTGAGCTGTTTAAATGTCCTAATAGGACAAATGTGTGTAGGACAAATTCAAAAATCATCTTGCTTTCAGTGGTGATAGGACAAATGATGGAAGGAACGTAGCAGTGGTGGTTGGGAAGGTGGAAGACGGTTAGGGATGACAGATGAGGATATGGCAGTGATTGTTAGCAGAGGGTGGCAAGCGCTTAAAGTTGTAGAGAAAATAGAAGAAAATAAGAGGGAAAATGAAGAATGATATTGATATTTTTTTTTTTTGATGAGCAAAAAGAAACTTTATTGATGAAGAAAGCATTACATGCAAAAACTAACATCAACAATGAGGGAAGTGCAAAAAGCATTAACACTAACCTTAACAATCCCAACTAGATTGGCATCGCTAAGGAAACACAATTATTTGCAAGCACTTGACTCAAGATTGGTGAGAAACCAATCAAAAAGAACTTAAGGAAAGAGAGAAAAACAAAAAAAAAAAAAACAGAACAACAGTACCAGTATCAACAGAGCAAAAACAGCAGCATCAGCATTTCAACTCCTTTCATAGCTGCACAGACTAGACCTACTACATAGTAGCTGTATAGACCAGACCAATCAAACATACCAGCATTAGCAGAATGCCAACTAGCAGCATACATCAGCAGGTCTCTGAACAACAGCATACAGTAGGCCAAAAACAACATTATACAATAGCAGCATACAACATCAGACCTTACACCAGCAGTAGACCTTACTCATAGCAACTCAGCCCTTTTACCCTAGTAGCCTTTCATCAAATCTTTTAGTAGACCTTAGACGCATTCCTTTACCCAAAGCAAGAAGAACACCCCTAATACCAATACTCCATTCTTCACAGCAGCTTCCCTGTTTCACACTTGGCTGCACACAATAGCATCCCTTTACCAGCACTTCCAGATCAGACCTTACTAGTTGCCTTGATAAAGTGATAAGACAATAAAAGCCTGTCTAGCTCTTCACCCCAAACCAGATCAACACAAACAGTCCCATACCAGCAATATATCAGCCATAACCCCCAACCAATAACTAACATAACCTCCTAACATTAATCTGGAGGCAGCCTTCTTCTACACACACAGGCCTTGATCTGATGAAAATTCATTACTATCTCTTGAACTGAGAACTGCAACCCCTTAATATTCGATTTACTCCAAAGTGCTACCATTACTTTCACCAATTCTGAAAGTTCATTCCAATCCACTAGTTTGCCACTAAAGAAACATGCATTCCTTGCTTTCCATAATGACCACATAACTGCTAAAGAATCACTTTCAACATTCTAAGAACCACTTTACTGAATTTGATTAATAACCACCAAAGCAACAAATTCTCAACTAAACCAGGCAGAACCCACACTAGATCCTACCGCTGCATCATAACAGTCCATAATTTCCAAACTAATGGGCAAAACAACAGAAGATGCTGAACTGACTCCTTTCCTGTTTTACAGAACAAGCACAATGCATTTGATTCCCCATTTAACACTCCAAAACTCTTTAAGACAACTGTAGTTTTAAGCCTACCTCTTCATGCTAACCACCCACAAAACTTTACCTTGGGTGGAGCAACATTGTCCCATAATTCTTTAGTAACACTGACAAGTGGACTTTTTGAAGACATCTACCACTTCCATGCTGCTGCTACTGTAAATGATCCTACTGGATTGTCCACCAATTTACATGAATCCTCAGTCTCCATAGAAAGACTAGGTCCTTCCCTTAGCAAATCATACAACCATAGGACCTCCTCTTCCTCTCATGCTAACAATGATCTTCTGAACAATAAATTCCAATCATTTGATTGACCACTCATCTAATAAATCTGCTACACAGTGCTACATTTCTCCTTTGATAAGCTATATAGTCTAGGAAATTCCTTCTTCAGGCACATGTTATTCAACCACTTGTCATCCTAAAATTGAATTCTATTCTCACTCCCTACTGTTAATTTCAGATTAGATAGATAAAAGGCCACTAGAGCAGGGCTATTTGTAACAAGTTGAAGGATATCACCCCAAATCCTAGACACTGCAACATTATCTAGATTACTTGGAACCCACCTGCTTCCAACCACACCATACTTACTACATATGATATTTTTCCATAAAGCTGTATCCTCTTTCCCAAACCTTCACCACCATTTGAGCAGAACGCAGTCATTAACTTCTCTTAGATTTCCAACCCCCAATCCCCTTTGATCAATGTTTGCTGATACCTCCTTCTAATTTACCATGTGAAGTTTCTTCTTTGTTTCAGAATCACCCCACAGAAAATTTGCCTAAATCCTGTCTAACTGTTTAGCCACATCCACAAGTAGTTTAAAAATTGATAGGAAATATAAAGGTAAACTTGAAAGAACTGCCTTCACTAATGTTAATCTACCAACAAATGAGAGCATCTTCCTTTTCGATGAAGCTAATTTGTTCTTTACTTTCTCAATCACTGGATTCCAAGTGTTCTTTCTTCTAGGATTTGCCCCAAGAGGTATGCCCAAATAAGTAATAGAAAGTTTTTGGCTATGGAAATGCAGCATTGAGACAAAATCATTACTTTCCTTCTCATTAACACTAACCCACACACCACACTTTTGTGGAAGTTAATATTTAAACCAGACATTAACTCAAAACACCTTAAAATTCTCTTTATTGACCAATTCCACCCTATCAGCTTCACAAAAAATAATAATATCATTTACAAATTGCAAATGAGAAACCTCAACTCATTGGGCCCAACAGTGGCATCTTTTAAAAAACCCAACTCCTTTTCCTTTTCAGTCAATATATTCAACCCTTCAGCAACAATGTTGAACAAGAATGATGATAACAGGTCTCTCTACCTAAGCTTTTTTTTAGGTGTAAATTCAGCAGATGGAAATCCATTAACCAGAACAGATATCTTGGCTGAAGATGTACATGTTTTGATCCACCTCACCCACTTTTTCCCAAAACCAAAATTCTTCATCATTAAAAAGAGAAACTCCCAATTTACTGAATCGTAAGTCTTTTGAAAATCTAATTTTAGAATGATTCATTTCCTTTTAGATAATTTTCGCCAATCCACCACTTCATTAGTAATCAATATCCCATCTAGAATGAATCTCTCCCCAAAAAGTACAGTCTGGACTTCACTAATAACTGCTGGCATCACCTTTTTTAATCTTCTAGACAACACTTTAGCTAGAACTTTATAAGCTGAATAAACTAAGCTTATTGGTCTATAATCCCCTAAACTACTTAAGGTCTCTTTCTTTGGTATCAAAGTGATAAATGAACAATTCAGGCCTGAGACCAGCTTCCCATTTTCATGGAACTCATTCATGAATTGTAGAAACTCACTCTTCATTATCTTCCTGCACTTTTGAATGCAGGCCATATTAAATTCATCTGGCCTAGAGCCTTATTACCATCACAATCTTGTATAGCTGCCCAAACCTCTTGCTCTGTAAATGCTACTTCCAAATTTTCCTTCTCTACAGAAGTAAGGGATAAAAATGGGCCTGAGAGTTTTTGTCTGGAGCACCACTCCTCAGTAAATACTCTTTCAAAATGATTACAGACTGACTATTTTACACTATTTGGATCCACCAACCTCTTCCTTTCCTCTACAACTAAATCCAATATATTTTTCTTTTGCCTAGAGCTTGCCATCAAATGGAAAAATCTTTTATTCTTATCACCACATTTAGCCCACACCATTCTAGATTTTTGATGCCATAAGCTCTCTTTTCTCGTACTCAAATTCCATACTTGACTTCTTACTTTCCTCATTCTGGTCAGTTCAGCTTTTGATAAATTCCTTGCTTCAGCTACCAAAAACCTCTGAAACCTGCTAATCAAAAGAATTCTAATGAGACCATCGTCATATCGATATCCCTTCATTTCAAAAGTAAATTGATAGTATTATTTATTCACTTAAACAAATCCAACCCTCATAATATAATCCTTTACTTACCCAAAAAAAACATATATATATATAATCCTAGAAGAACCACATGATAAAATTGATCTATCAAATATCTCTAGCATATCGTATTATTTTAGTACTAGTGTACACCTGCGCCCATGTTTGAAGGCACAGTGTAAATAAAAACAAGTGAATAAAAAGGAGAAAACAAAAAAATAAATAAATAGGTAGGAAAATAAAAAAAATAAAAAAATAAAAAAGACAAGGAGGAAGGTAGGATCATTCATGGGATTGTGAGAGGATGGGTGAGAAAAGAAAAAAGCAAGATAGAGAAGCGGGAAAGTATGATACATTACAGCCATTGTTCTGGAGTTTAAACATATCTGAGCTGTTTAAATGTCCTAATAGGACAAATGTGTGTAGGACAAATTCAAAAACCATCTTGCTTTCAGTGGTGGTAGGACAAATGGTGGAAGGAACGTAGCAGTGGTGGTTGGGAAGGTGGAAGACGGTTAGGGATGACAGATGAGGATATGGCAGTGATTGTTAGCAGAGGGTGGCAAGCGCTTAAAGTTGTAGAGAAAATAGAAGAAAATAAGAGGAAAAATGAAGAGGGATATTGATATATATATTTTTTTTGATGAGCAAAAAGCAACTTTTTTGATGAAGAAAGCATTACATGCAAAAACTAACATCAACAAGGAGGGAAGTGCAAAAAGCATTAACACTAACCTTAATAATCCCAACTAGATTGACATCGTTAAGGAAACACAATTATTTGCAAGCACTTGACTCAAGATTGGTGAGAAACCAATCAAAAAGAACCTAAGGAAAGAGACAAAAACAAAAAAAACAGAACAACAATACCAGCATCAACAGAGCAAAAACCAGCAGCATCAGCATTTCAACTCCTTTCATAGCTGCACAGACTAGACCTACTACATAGCAGCTGTATAGACCAGACCAATCAAACATACCAGCATTAGTAGAATGCTAACTAGCAGCATACATCAGTAGGTCTCTGAACAACAGCATACAGTAGGCCAAAAACAACGTTATACAACAGCAGCATACAACATCAGACCTTACACCAGCAGTAGACCTTACTCATAGCAACTCAGCCCTTTACCCTAGTAGTAACCTTTCATCAAATCTTTTACTAGACCTTAGACACATTCCTTTACCCAAAGCACACTACAACAAAAAACATTTTTGGCGACGCTTTTTAGCAACCAAACAAAAATTTAGTTGCCAAAGATACATCATTGGCGACAGAATAGTTGTGGTCACTAAAAACTAAACTTTTGGCGACGAATTTAAAATTTTGGTCACTATTGAGTTTGGCGCCAAGTGATTTTTTTGGGCAGGAGCGCTAAAAATAATTTGGCGACCAAATTAATTTTTAGCGACAAAAATTTTAGTCGCCAATTATATGTATTTGGTGACAAGCATAATTTGGTCACCAAAAATTTAAATAATATTTATGGCAACCAAATTTATTTGGTTGCCAATAAATTATTTGTTTTTACCCTAATTTTTTATTGCCAAAAATAATTGACTGAGTGAATAAACAAACAATTGATCATCACTTTCCTTCTCACTTTCTCACTCCATCTGAAACGGCACACACGGGTCGATCCAGGTAATGTCTTATTCTTTTCTTCTTCTTCTCTCTCTCTTTCCCCTTCTCCCTCTTGCTCTGCTGCATCACCGAATGTGAAAGGCACCGGAGCGCTGTTGACAGCAGTGCTGCACGGCGGCAGATCGCACCCTTTTTTTGGGTCGATCCCCTCTTCTCTTCTCTATCTCTGATATGTTGAATGTAGTCCCTTTCCCTCGTGCTTTCTCGAGCCATCGGATGCCAATGGCACAACACCGCTGGGCAGCAGCAGCGCTGGGCGGCAGATCGATGCCCTCTTCTTTGGGTCGATGCCCTCTTCTCTCCTCTGGGCCAATTGATATTCTGAATGTATTTTCTTAAACCAATTTTTAAAGTTACAGAGGTGAAATAAACTAATTTTTATTTTATTTTTGATATGTATTATATCTGTTGTGTGACCCAGATGAACTATATGTCTAGTAGTGACTCCAAATCAGTAGAGCTTCAGCTATAATTGCATGTGTGATTACCTTCATTCTGTTTTATACTGTAAATAGTTGATCTGTTAATGTAGATTACCTCCTCCCTCTTAAGAAATCCAAATATGCGAGAGAAAGTTAATGCACCATGATCAGATTTTGTCAAAATATGCATCAAACTGAACTATATCTATTTGTTGATGTATGTCAACAGCTTGAGGTTCATGGTTAGTCATCTTAGGTATCTTAGAGAATGGAACACTTTGTGAAGAGATTTCAATTAAGCTTTTTTTTATGCTAATATCAACATTTTGTCTGAAGACAGTGGTATGGAAATACTTTAGTCACTTACTTTAAAAAAAAAATGCTAAGATCTTGTGCAATATGTAAAATTTGTATAAGCATTTTTTTTGAGTTATTAGAGAAAAACATGCAATGGATCTTTATTGACACTAGCAGTAGATCTCTGTAGTTATGGTTTCCTTTTCTTTTTGAATTTTCCCTCTTGACATATATTGGCAGTAAAATGGTAGTTTATTGGTGCGTCATGGTTGGCTATTCATTGACCTGACAATCTGTAAATCTATACAGTTTGAGTATGTGGTTGGTGTTGGTGTTGGTGTTGTTGTTGGTGTTGGGTTGTGATTTATAATGAACACTTTGAAAAACATGGTATTATTATTACTAATCTGTTGCAAATCTCATTCTTACCCCTGATGGTTATGGAGTCGATTTTACTATATCTGTCAAACTAATTGAAGATAATTCTCTCCTTTTTGGCATGTTTCTTCATGAATGTGTATACAAATCTCAAACTTGTAATCTGTAATTGCTTATACCATATAACATTTAGTGGAGGAGTGGATTTGAGTTATGCATGTTACTCACCTTTCCTTGTTATATGCTGCGCTTGGGTTTTTAGTTTTTCCCCCTGTTCTACTTTGGGTATCAGCACTTGTTTTTGCATTTGTTGAATGCTCTTAGTTCACATGTTGCACTTAGTTCCAAGACAATGAATTATATCAAGTTGAACTTATCTGTTCTGGTGCCTTTTGGCGGTCTTTTTATGCAGAGGTGTTGGCCCCTTTGGTCCAGATATGGTCCGCAAGTATACTAGTGCTAGATTTGGTTCATATTCAACTGGCCAAGTTTTGAATGAAGAGGAGTCCAAATTACTGTCAGGTATTTAAATGGTTTAACTTTTTGTCTGTGGCACATTTTGACTACAATAATCTAATAGTTGCTATTTCAATTGAAGAATATGTGTACCACACATTGGCGGCCAAAGCCAGTGGAGAGCTGTGTTTAAAATATATATTTGCATTTGGAGCATTTACTCGGGTGCCTCTTTTAGAAAGGTGCGGTGATTCTCCTCCTAAACTTGTTTAATGGATTTGTAAAAGATAATTGCTGCCAAATGGCATGAATTCATCATGTAGAAATGATAGTGTGTTTTTTAACAAGTAAATAAAAAGAAATGAAAGTGCATTTAAATTCCCCACCTAGGAAGGGTTGGAAGGTAGTGAGTGACTATTATATAATGATCTCATTCCTTTGGCGTGCAGTGCATCCGAATGGAAAGTGCCAACGACATTTATATATGGCTACGAAGATTGGATGTCTTACGAAGGGGCCCAAGATGCTCGCAAGCATATGAAGGTCCCTTGTGAAATTATAAGGGTCCCTTAGGTTTCTCTCTCTCTCTTCCCCCCAAAATTTGTCAAACTGTGCCTTTTCAGTTTCATAAAAGATCTGTTATATGTTTTTAGATTTTCTTAGCTAGTTTTTGAAGGTTGAGTTTTTGTGGGCTTGCTTTACATTAACTTGGCTTTTTGCTCTCTCTCTTTTCTCTCTCTCTCTCTCTCTCACTCTCTCTCTCTCTCTCGCTCTACTTGCATCGGAGCCCATCCCGTGCGACGACTACCGACCAACACGACGCCGACGACCACCGACCACCTCTCCTCTGTGTCTCATCCTCTCTCGACGACACCACCGACCACCTCATCTCCTCTCACCCTCCTCTTTCGTCTCTCTCCCCTTGCAAGGTAAACTAGAACTTTCAATTTTTGCAATTCATGATGTTTTTGTGGGTTTGGTTGTAAAGTTGCAATTCATGATATTTTTTTGCTTGAATCTGAATTTTTTGTGGGTTTGTAAAGTTGAATCTGGATATTTGTTTTAGGGTTAGCTCACACTTCTGTTAAGGATGCTATTATGTACCCTAGTTTGAAACCTAGAGGTAAAAAGTTGGATTTGAAGCTTGATGATATAAAGGCCATACAAGCTCTCTACGGTTCAAACCCAAATTTCAAGTTTAGTGCTTCATTGGAGTCAGACACTTCTTCAAATCAAGCCATTGATTTGAGGGTTGTTAGATCATCAACATGGCACATATTGGTTTTGATATTGACATCGCTAACATGCATGTAATCGTGCATGACTGGACATACATTTGTGTGAGTCTTACTTATAACACAAACACATAACTCCTTTATTTTTTTTTTAATTTTTAAATTGATGTATTCTTTAAAGATTTTATGGCAAGTGCCAATTGTACTAACAATTTGAAAGTGTATATGACTTTAGTTTTTTTCTTATAATTTTGTTTTTTACACATCAATCAGAATTATCAATTTATTGAAGGTGCATTTTAGATAAAGTTTGGTAGATCATGGAGGATATGTGGTAGAAATAATGTATTTTAATTTTTGAAGGCAAAAGTGCAACAAAACCATTTTTGTCCATCCCTTCTGGTCAAGATCCAATTTTAATCCATTTGAGGCGCCATGATTTACCATTTCCATTTGTTGTTAAATCCACATATGTGGTTTACTTTCCTACATATGAGGTACAAGGCACAGTTGTGTTTTTTTAAATGAATGAAAATTTGCCTTTTCAGTTATTATCATTTTTTTTTAAAATTTTAAATTTCACCAAATAAAAAAATAAAGTAAATTGATGTACTCTAAATTGATGGCGGAGGGTGGTGGGAGAAGCGTAATAGTGGTGGTGGGGAAGGTGGAGGAGGGTCAGGGATGGCAAATGAGGATATGGCAGTGATTGTTAGCAGAGGGTGGCAAGCGATTAAAGTTGTATAGAAAATAGAAGAAAATAGGAGGAAAACAGAAGAGGGATATCGATATAACCTCTGCTAATCAAAAGAATTCTAATGAGACCATCGTCATATCGATATCCCTTCATTTCAAAAGTAAATTGATAGTATTATTTATTCACTTAAACAAATCCAACCCTCATAATATAATCCTTTACTTACCCAAAAAAAACATATATATATATAATCCTAGAAGAACCACATGATAAAATTGATCTATCAAATATCTCTAGCATATCGTATTATTTTAGTACTAGTGTACACCTGCGCCCATGTTTGAAGGCACAGTGTAAATAAAAACAAGTGAATAAAAAGGAGAAAACAAAAAAATAAATAAATAGGTAGGAAAATAAAAAAAATAAAAAAATAAAAAAGACAAGGAGGAAGGTAGGATCATTCATGGGATTGTGAGAGGATGGGTGAGAAAAGAAAAAAGCAAGATAGAGAAGCGGGAAAGTATGATACATTACAGCCATTGTTCTGGAGTTTAAACATATCTGAGCTGTTTAAATGTCCTAATAGGACAAATGTGTGTAGGACAAATTCAAAAACCATCTTGCTTTCAGTGGTGGTAGGACAAATGGTGGAAGGAACGTAGCAGTGGTGGTTGGGAAGGTGGAAGACGGTTAGGGATGACAGATGAGGATATGGCAGTGATTGTTAGCAGAGGGTGGCAAGCGCTTAAAGTTGTAGAGAAAATAGAAGAAAATAAGAGGGAAAATGAAGAATGATATTGATATTTTTTTTTTTTGATGAGCAAAAAGAAACTTTATTGATGAAGAAAGCATTACATGCAAAAACTAACATCAACAAGGAGGGAAGTGCAAAAAGCATTAACACTAACCTTAACAATCCCAACTAGATTGGCATCGCTAAGGAAACACAATTATTTGCAAGCACTTGACTCAAGATTGGTGAGAAACCAATCAAAAAGAACCTAAGGAAAGAGACAAAAACAAAAAAAACAGAACAACAATACCAGCATCAACAGAGCAAAAACCAGCAGCATCAGCATTTCAACTCCTTTCATAGCTGCACAGACTAGACCTACTACATAGTAGCTGTATAGACCAGACCAATCAAACATACCAGCATTAGCAGAATGCCAACTAGCAGCATACATCAGCAGGTCTCTGAACAACAGCATACAGTAGGCCAAAAACAACATTATACAATAGCAGCATACAACATCAGACCTTACACCAGCAGTAGACCTTACTCATAGCAACTCAGCCCTTTTACCCTAGTAGCCTTTCATCAAATCTTTTAGTAGACCTTAGACGCATTCCTTTACCCAAAGCAAGAAGAACACCCCTAATACCAATACTCCATTCTTCACAGCAGCTTCCCTGTTTCACACTTGGCTGCACACAATAGCATCCCTTTACCAGCACTTCCAGATCAGACCTTACTAGTTGCCTTGATAAAGTGATAAGACAATAAAAGCCTGTCTAGCTCTTCACCCCAAACCAGATCAACACAAACAGTCCCATACCAGCAATATATCAGCCATAACCCCCAACCAATAACTAACATAACCTCCTAACATTAATCTGGAGGCAGCCTTCTTCTACACACACAGGCCTTGATCTGATGAAAATTCATTACTATCTCTTGAACTGAGAACTGCAACCCCTTAATATTCGATTTACTCCAAAGTGCTACCATTACTTTCACCAATTCTGAAAGTTCATTCCAATCCACTAGTTTGCCACTAAAGAAACATGCATTCCTTGCTTTCCATAATGACCACATAACTGCTAAAGAATCACTTTCAACATTCTAAGAACCACTTTACTGAATTTGATTAATAACCACCAAAGCAACAAATTCTCAACTAAACCAGGCAGAACCCACACTAGATCCTACCGCTGCATCATAACAGTCCATAATTTCCAAACTAATGGGCAAAACAACAGAAGATGCTGAACTGACTCCTTCCCTGTTTTACAGAACAAGCACAATGCATTTGATTCCTCATTTAACACTCCAAAACTCTTTAAGACAACTGTAGTTTTAAGCCTACCTCTTCATGCTAACCACCCACAAAACTTTACCTTGGGTGGAGCAACATTGTCCCATAATTCTTTAGTAACATTGACAAGTGGACTTTTTGAAGACATCTACCACTTCCATGCTGCTGCTACTGTAAATGATCCTACTGGATTGTCCACCCATTTACATGAATCTGTGGACACCCCATTTTTTACCGACCTTAAGACTTAGACGTCACCGATTGAGCGCTCGGTGATGTTGCATATTGTGCTCGTTCAGAGGTCACGGAGTCTCGGCCGTGAGCCTTGCCTCCGGACTTTCGGACTCTTTTGTGCTTTGCCTCGGTTTGCGAACCAGGTCCCGTTTTCTCCGTCTTCTCTTCCCGAAGGGAGGGAGAGGTCTCGTAGATCATCTCTCAATGGCCGTAGGATACGTTTTGTGGTCATAGGTCGTTTTTCCCGTTTCGGAGCCCGGTTCCCGATTTTCGGAACCGTCGGCCGTGTGCCTCGGTTCGGGACCGCTTAACCACCTCCGTTTGCTCCGGTTTTTGGTATACACCCCACCACCATCCATTCCAACGACTTGGAACTGTTTTTCAGAGCTTAGGAGCACCATTTCTCAGACCAAGAGCTGCTGGTCCATTGGTCTTCAAGGGTAAGCTTCTTTTCCTCTTTTTTGTTCCTATCTCGCTCTATATTTAAGCCTTGCTTGCAAGCATTTTTGGGCTCTGACCCAAATTTTAAATAGTCATATTTTAAGCTCCTTTTCATGTTTGATTAAGGACCTTTTGCTATTTGAGGTCTCCTACTATCACTTGCCTCTTTAACTCTCTTTTAGGCCTATTTTTGCATGGTATTTTAGGCTTATTTGTGAGCTGTTTCGTGGCTTGATGTAAACTGTAAAGTGTCTTGTTTTGAACCCCACTTCAACTTTGTTGAAGGGCTATCTTTGGTTTGAGGCCAGCAGCTACCACTTGCCTCTTTATCTCTCTTTTAGGCCTATTTTTGGGGGGAAATTTGAATTGATTTCCCCCCCACCCATTCTTCCCCCCTTTTCCTCCATTCCACCCTCTATAAAACCAGAAGCTCCAGCTGCATTTTGGGTTAGAAAAAATTTTTGTTTAAGCCTCCTACATTTAATTTCTCTCTCTCTATATTCCAAGCATCAAAACCCTTTTATTTTTTTTGGCCCCTTTCTACACCACCACATAGCACCACCTCCCCACCATCCTTTCCAACACTTGGAGCTGGTTTTCCAGACGCAAGGAGCACCTTTTCTCAAGCCAAGATTTGTTGAAGCATTAGTCTTCAAGGGTAAGTCTTCTATCCCTCTATTTGGCCCTATTTTTGCTCAATATATTAGCTCCTCTTTCTTGCATATTTGGGCTCCGACCCTAACTGAAAATAGCATTATTTTGAGCTCCTTTTCATGTTTGTTTGAGGGCGTCTCCCTGTTTGAGACTTCCTTTTTACACTTGCTTCTTTACCTCTCTTGTATGCTTCTTTCTTGCATAGTATTTTAGGCTCATTTTTAAATTGTTTCGAGCTTGGTTATAAACTAAAAAGTGGCTTATTTTGAGCCATTATTCAACATTGTTCAAGGGCTCTTCACTTTTTGAGGTTTCCTTTTGTCACTTGCCTCTTTATCCCTCTTTTGGCCTTATTTTTGCATGTTTTGTTAGCCCCTTGTTCTTGTATTTTTGGGCTCCGACCTGAACTGAAAATAGTCATATTTTGACCCCCTCTTCATATTTGATGAAGGGTATTTTTCTGTTTGAGGCTCCCTTTTTATACTTTGTGTTTAAACCTTCTTTTAGGCCCATTTCTTGCATAGTATTTTAAGCTTACTTTTTCACTGTTTTGGGCTCGGTCATAAAATGTAAAATACTTTTTTTTGAGCCCTTCTTAAACTTTGTTGAAGGGATATTCATTGTTTGGGGCAAGCAGCTGCTACTTGCTTCTTTATCTCTCTTTTGGGGCCATTTTTGCATGTTAACTTAGCCCTATTTGTGTTCACTTTTTGGCCTTTCTTAAAACTGAAAATATGCATGTTTTGGGACTGCCTTGATTCTGTATTTATGCTTCATATTCAAATAATGCATGCTTTGTATAGCTATAAGTCATTCCATGCGCCTAGTTTCGAGTTTCGGGTCTCAGTTCATGCATCGGGTGCCATGTTTCCATGTTTCGGGGCTGTTTTGCATCATATTTTGGTACTGAAATTTGCATGTTTGCATATCATGTTTCATACCTTGCCATGCTTTGTTAGAGTGGCATTTGTGCCTTAGGATCGGTTCTCGATTTGCGTGCATGCGTGCACGTATCTCGAGTGTCTCGTTTTCATCTAATGGCTACCGATGTGAGTGTGGCTTTGGTCCACTCATGTTGGTGTAAGTCCATTGTGCATTGTGTATGCCATTTCAATGCATAGCATTGCGTATGCTAGGTTGTATGTTAGAGCATCGTGTATGCCATGTTACATCGTGCATTGTGTATGCCATTTCATAGCATTGTGCATGCTAGGTTGTATATTAGTTGCATTCATGCATGTCATGCATATTGCATTGTGCTTGGGATAGGAATTAGCCCAAGCATGGGAAACGAGGTACGTTTCATACTCCGAGTGATAGAACATGTCTCAATTCCTGG